CCAGGAAGTTCCTCATCCACGCCTGCCTGCTGCTCTTCTCGGTGCTGCTGCCCCTCCACCGCGACGGCGTCATCCACTGGAGCGACTGGGCCGTCTTCGCCCCCTTATGGCTGTGGAAGCTCCGGGTCGTCGCGGGCGCCGGGGTGGGCGCGGGCGTGTGGGGGCGCAGCCCGCGCCACCGCGCAGACGGGGAGGCCTGCGTGGAGTTCAAAGCCATGCTCATCGCCGTGGGCATCCACCTGCTACTGCTCGTGTTCGAAGTGCTGGTCTGCGACAGGGTGGAGAGGGGGACGCACTTCTGGCTGCTGGTCTTCATGCCCCTCTTCTTCGTGACCCCGGTGTCCGTGGCCCCCTGTGTCTGGGGCTTCCGGCACGACAGGTCCCTGGAGCTGGAGATCCTGTGCTCGGTCAACATCCTGCAGTTCACCTTCATCGCCCTGAGGCTGGACCGGATTTTTCACTGGGCGTGGCGGGTGGTGTTCGTGCCCCTGTGGATCCTCATGCCGTTCCTTTGCCTGGTGGTCCTCTATTACCTCGTCTGGTCCCTCCTGTTCCTGCGGTCCCTGGATGTGATAGCCGAGCAGCGGAGGACACACGTGACCATGGCCCTCAGCTGGGTAGCCATCGTCGTGCCTCTGCTCACCTTCGAGGTCCTGCTGGTTCACCATTGGATGGCCACAACGCCCTGTCTTACCTCTCTATATTTGTCCCCCTTTGGCTCTCCTTGATAACCTCCATGGCCGCATCGTTTAGGCGAAAGGGGGGCAACCACTGGTGGTTTGGTATTCGCAGAGATTTCTGTCAGTTTCTGCTGGAAATGTTCCCGTTTCTAAGAGGATATGGCAACATTTCCTATGATCTCCGTCATGAAGACAGTGAAGATGCTGAAGGAACATCGGTTCCAGAAGCTCCAAAAATTGCTCCGATGTTTGGAAAGAAGGCCAGGGTAGTGATAACCCAGAGCCCTGGAAAGTATGCTCCCCCACCTCCCAAGTTAAATATCGTTATGCCGGATTAAACTCCCCTTCTAGGCAGGGCCCACACGCAGAATAGAGACCACACACACACGCAGACTCCACCTTGCCTTTGCTCTCTGTTCATCCTCCCAAACCTGGGCCTGGAAATGGGCTCCAGACGCCATCATCTCATTCCTTGTTTGCTATTGATGCCTGCCTGAGTCTCAGAAGTGTGCCCCACAGATGGAAGAGTTTATGAACAGGTGTGAGGAGTGTACCTGGGTACGAGAACTTGCTTTCCAGGTTGTTGCGTTCAGATCTTGCTGGGGGCAGTAAGTTGAATTGTCGTAGTAGGTCCTCAAAAGGAATAATCACACAGCTTTTTAAAAGTGCTGCTGTACTAATCAAAAGTATTGTCTTAAAAAATATTTTTATACACTGCTTGTCTAAAATTGTATTTCAGTTTGTGCCTGTTGTGACATAATAGCAAGTGTAAAGAGTCCACTTGCCCACCACTTGTTTATAAAATGCATAGTTGTTTAAAAAAAAAAAATTACATTTCCCTAAAATCCAAGAAGATACTTAATTCATTTGGTATGTTAAAACTATACAAATATAAAACTATACAAATATAAAACTATACAAATATACAAATACAAATATAAAACTATACAAATACAAATATAAAACTATACAAATATGAAAGGGTGTTTAACTTTCCTTGAGTTATATTTTTATATAATATTATATTGTGTCCCAAGTTTGTATGATATTTCTGGAAATCTGATATGTTATTGGTGGTAATGATTATTATGTTAAGTTTTAATGTGCCACAAAATAATCAAATTTTCTTGTCGATTGTGTCTTTGACAATGGCTGTCCTAAAACTTTTGTCAAACACAATCATTGTTTTACTTTAATCCCTTTCAAAAGTGGTTTATAATCAGCTAAAGGACTCTGACAAGTACTCATTAATGCCAATTTCTAACAGCCTTGGAGATTGTGCCATTAGACCATAAAAAAAAAAACTTCCAAGACTCTTATTAGAGAACTTATGTGCGCATGAGAATTGCTGACCCAATATAGAGCAGAACAAGAGTTAATTGCATTGACTGAATAAATAAAAACACAAATAATTTTATAATTTTTGTTTGAAGTATTTCTGATTCTTTTTGTTTTGCCTTTCAGTCAAGAAAAGCTTTGTCTTTGAGCTATTTACAGTTTTTAACACATGAGTAAAATATGCTCTTGTGAGCAAAATTTGAAACATATATCTTTCTCTCTACCTGATTTCTCCAGAATTTAAGAGCTATTTGTGAGTATTGCTTTATAACAGTATGACTATTTGCATGAGTTCAATAAGAATCTGTTTTCTTTTATAATAGTATGTGATTGGAGATACTGATTATTTTACTAAGGCTTTGGCTGGAATTACATTTCAGAGCAGACTACTTTGAGGAATTGAAATGAAGATCTAAAAAAAAAAGCCAACAAAAGTTCCCTTGGAAAGTCTGGCCTGTTGCCTTTTCAGCTCTGCAGAGCTTCTGACCTGTGGTAGGTAAAGTTTACTAACAGGCCCAGGAATCCCAAATTACTTGGAACCTCAAAGAGAGGAGTTCGCTCAATTCATACAGTTATTTGCAGGCAGATCCTTGGCTGAGCGCAAAGGCTTTTGGAAGATCTAATCTGAGACTCCTCATGGAAAGAGTTCCAACACAGCCAACTTAAAAGGAACCTATGGAAGTATATAGGTCCTACTATGATTCATCTTTAATAGAAATGGAGCACAGGAGAGAAAGAATTATGTTTCAAGAGAAACTATAGTACATCTCTTTTAAAGTTATCTTGTTCATTATTTTTGAGTCCTTATTATTTTCTATAATTTAGACTGTATCTTGAAATCTTTTCTGGCCACAAGTCTCTGGAATAACGTTTTCCATTTGTTCTTCATATCTTATATGAACTTCACAAAAAGTCCACTTAAACGCCTGGCTCAAACTATAGTCCAGAAGAATCTGTCAAATTATCACTGCAATCAGGATGCATCAGAAACTCTAAAAGCGAATTCATAAACTATTCCAGATATTAACCTTTGATTTTCTTATATCTCCATAGAAATGTCTTTTAGTAAAGATCTGTGATCTACAGCATCTATAGAAAACGAGCCCTCCTGCAATACTATCTTCAAAAATGAAACATACCTGTTTAATGGAACAAGTACATGACCTACACCCTACCAGCCAGGCATACCAGACCTTACCACCTTGTGGGTTGGAATGTAGAATTACCAGTGTAGTAAATCACAGAAACAATAGGAAATTACCCAAAACACAGACATGATGTTCTAAAAAAAAAACAAATTTAGTTGAACAACTTTCATTATTTAGAAGATCCTTGTGACTTTAAAAGGTTGAGAGATTGTAATCAAAACTCATGACCAGATAACTGCAACCTTCACTCTTAGCTCATGGAATAGTTTGATTAATCATTGTTGTAAAATGCAGATCCTCTTGTCAAAAATAAACATGAGTTATCTCCCTTAAGACACCCACATTCTTTCTTGAGTGTTTTTTCTTTCTTTCTAATAAATCCTTAAACTGTACTTTGGACTCACTCTGAAATTCTTTTTTTGTTCTGAATCCAGAGAACCTGCAGAACAATGAAACCCCACCCCACCCAGTATCACTGGCTTCTTCCTAGAACTCTTGACCCTTATATACAACTGTCTTTTTAATATCTGTAAATAGATGTCTAGTAGGCATCACAAATGTAACAAGACCAAAACAAAACTCTTAACACCTGTTCCTACAGTTTCAACCTACTATTCCTCTAGAATTACCAACACTCAAGGCAAATATTTAGGTGTTATCCTAAACTCACTTGATTCCCTCATGTCAATATGTTTGCATGTCTTATCTACTCAGCTTCCAAATATATCATGTGTCCATCATCTCTCCATATTCATAGCCACTATGCTAGTCTAGTTCATCACCATCTCTCCATGGGACAACTGTACTAGCTTCTTAGTTGGCTTCTTTATGTCCTCTTTTACTCCCTTTGCAATCTATTCTTCACGTAACACCAAAAATAATATTTTAGAAGTGAAAGTCAGCCGGGCTCGGTGACTCAGCCTATAATCCCGTGCCTTTGGGAGGCTGAGGTAAGTGGATTGCCTGAGCCCGTAGGTTCGAGACCCGCCTGGGCAGCGAGACCTCATCTCTACAATAAATCAAAAAATCAGCCGGGCGTGGTATCGCATGCCTGTAATTCCGGCTACTCGGAAGGCTGAGGCAGAAGGATCGCTGGAGCCCAGCAGGTCGAGTCTGCGATGGCCGGGAGTGGCCACTGCACTCCAATCTGGGCGACAGAGTGAGACTCCAACTCAAAAAAAAAAAAAGTGAAAGTCAGATGATGTCACTCCCATGTCTAAAAATTACCAGTGGCTTTCCTATGTAACATATATTGCGCATACTACTTATATATTATATAGGAAAGTCATTGGTAAGTTTTAGACATATTACTTATATATGTAATATGCATATATATGTATATATATAACACACACAGAACTGCACATGTTCATATGTACAATTTGATGAGACTGAACAACTGCTAACCCTGGATTGATAAAATTCTACACTACCCAGCTTCTACTGTCCTCTCCACCCTCAACGCACAAGGCTCTTCTCTTTGTCCACACCACATATTTCCCATCTTGCTCCCTATTTGGGGTTCTTTTTATTAGCTGCTCCTTCCTGAAATGCTACTTCCAGGGCTGTACAGGGCTGGTGCCATTCAGCTTTAAGCTGATGTATTTTGGATGCCATCTCATTCAAGAAGATTCTCAGACATAGTCTAAAGTAAGCCCTTAAAATTTCTTCTGTTTGCATTTCTGTACAGTATGAACTATCAGTTTTTCTTTGTTTATTGTCTTTCTGTCTCCCTTTCCTGCTGGAATATAAGCTCCAATGGAAAAGGCTCTTGTCTGTCTCACTCACCATTCACCACTGTGTCCTCAGTGCCATCCACTGTAAAATGGGCTCAGTAGGTATCCGATGAATACATTACACTTTCTCAAGAAACAGTCTCAAGAAGTAGAAGTTCAAAAAAATTCAACCATGCCTCTCCAGAAATCTTCATTTCATAGAATCTGGTCACTTTCAGCAAACCAGAACTTTTGTCTGAACTTGTAACTGTAGTGTTAAGCAATTCAAAGAAAGAAAGTGATAATGTGTGTCACTGATACACAAACCACTATACCACAGCATGCCATCACCAGAGGCACCAGCTCTTTCACTTTTAATGTCAAAGCCAAACTCTTGTCTAGGAGATTGATGAGGCCCCAAGCACTTTCTTTAAATGTCTAAGGAAGATTCCTCCTGGCTTTCTGGTCAGCATCTTTTTTCATGGCCCTTTAGTTCCTGAATTAAACCCAATGTTTGCTTCACTGCAGGCTCAGAAAATGAAAGGAAGTGTAGGAAGCTAGAAGTAGTCTCACATGGAAAAAAAAATTTCATAAGGAGAGGAAAGAAGAATTCTAAAACAATCATTCTTCCATTCATTCAACTAACATGTATGAAAACGTACTTCGTGTTAGGCCCTCGTCTAGAACTTAGCAGTGAAGAAAACAAAATCAGCAGCTCTAATATTGTTTACATGATTTATAAACCCCGGTTTTTGACAGATCATGCCTTTTCAACCTACATTACATGGCTCTCTCTACCCATAGTTTGTATCAGTCTTATCCTACTGAGTCAACAAGGCCTAACTCTATCATTTACTGTCTACATTACTCATTAGACATGCATTGTGGATTAAGAAACGAGAGTGAAACATTTAATGATTTTTAAAAACTTTTGCTTTATTTCCTGAGGACAGGAATGGTTCTCATGCCCCACTGTATTCTATGCTACACAACCATGTCCTATAGAGTTGAAGTTTACTTTACTACAATGAATTGTAAGATGCATGCTTTTAAAACATGTTAGTATCTTTGATATAAATATATCTCTTAGAATTAACCATGCCTTTCAAATATAAATTAAGTGGGGCTTCTTTTCTT